TGAGCTCAGAAGTTCGAGACTAGCCTGGCCAACATAGTGACACCTCCCATCCATAAATAAAAAAATTAGCCAGGCATGGTGGCACATAACTGTAGTTCCAGCTACTTGGGAGGCTGAGGTAGAAGGATCACTTGAGCCTCGGAGGTTGAGGTTGCAGTGAGCTATAATCATGCCACTGTACTCCAGCCTCGGCAACAGGGCAAGATTTGTCTTAAAAAGAAAAAAAAGTAATCGGAGGGGAAAATCCTATTCTTCCTGGATTGCTAAGCTGGTGGGATGTGAATTCTGACTGGCTGACAGCCATTTTCTGGGTGGCAAAGGCTTTCTGCTGTGGTAGGGGATGAAGACATCAACAGGAGAAGCCGGTGGAGGGGCAGAGTGTCCTGACGTTGTACTCCCAGGTGCCTGCGGTCCCGGCTGTCCCTCCCATGGTGTGATTCAATGAACCAATAAATTCCTTCCTGTTCCTGGCAAATCCAGAGCCCTGCCTAACCCAAGCACTCAGCACTTATAGTAACAAACGTAGTCATAAAGTTCAGTAGGAGAAATGTCACGGGCAGGACGAGAAGTGAAAGTCTTGGGCAAGAGGGCTGTGAAATCAGAGATAGACAAGACCACCTCATTCATTCTGTCAGCATTTTTGAGCACCTGCTTGTACCAGGCACCTGTTAGTCACTCAGGATATAACAGTGAATGAGAAGGACCTGGTCCCTTTTTTCACTTTGGAGTAATCAGAGGGGGCATTCTAGAGTTGGTAAGGCTTGAGGAGGTCACTGAAAGATGGTAAAATCTGGCCAGGCAGAGAGGGACGAGGAGAATTTTCCACAAATAGAAAAGCATGAATAAAGATGTGAAGGCATAAAACCGTGGTGTCGATGTGCGGGCTCCAGTGGCTCACACCTGTAATCCCAGTACTTTGAAAGGCCAACTTGGGAGGGTCACTAAAGGTTGGGAGTTCAAAACCCGCCTGGTCAACATAGTGAAACCTCGTCTCGACTAAAAATACAAAAATCAGCCTGGCATTGTGGTCCGTGCCTGTAGTTCCAGCTACTCGAGAGGCTGAGGCAGGAGAACCAGAGACTCGGAGGATGCAGTGAGTGATTGCGCCACTGCACCCCAGCCCGGGCAACAGAGCAAGACTCTAAAACAACAACAACAACAACAGCAAAAGACACAAGAAGTCACAGACAAGGTCTTGTATCTCCACAGTGCCTGGCTACCATACGCACTCAGTAAGTGAGGGAGTAAGTGCAAAAATGACTTAACGAAGCAAAGCTTAAGTCGTTTTTGGGAAGAGCAGGTCATTCAGCTGGGCTGGAGAAGAGGTCGTTTTGGAAAAGGTAATGCGGAGGGAGCGAGATTGAAGCCAGATGCAGACGATCTTGCTGAAAAGCACGGTCTTTGCCTTGACCACGCCATGCAGTCCTGATGCCGGCAGGGCTGGGGGCAGCTGGCCAGGCAGAGAGGCTCCCACAGGCTCTGCGTGGCCCCATCTGTGTGTTGTGGCTGCCACGCCCATGCTATCCGGCCTCGCCAGCCAGGCTCCGCCCAGCACCCTAACCAGCACCACAGCCACCCAAGGTCATGCCCCAGACACCACCCGCCCAGCTGGCTCCTGGGCAAAGCTGCCAGCACAGCACTTCTGCTCACTCTGTAATTTAAACATGACCTCCTCCTCTTCAGCCTGAAGCGCTCGTGGCTTTCTGCACCGCAGACATACACTCCGCTGCGGGGAGCTGCTGGCACAGAAGAGGTCTGGAGTCTCCTGGGAACTCCTGGACCTTGGCTATGAGGCGACTCCTCCCAGCTCCGCGAGGCTGAGGCTGGACAAGGCCCGGGCTCCTTAGTCCAGAACTAGGGAGACTACGCCCCCTTGTGGCCTGGAGCCGCCCAGCACCTTGGCCTTCCTGGAGAATTGGCACCTTTGCCTTATTTATTTAAAGAAAATACATTTCTTCAAGAATATCGATAATTTAGGTTATACAGGTTGACAGCTCAAAGAATTTCATAGCAAATAATTTCTGAAAAGGCTGTTTTGGATTTTCCAAAACCAAAGCAAACGTTTCTGACTCTAATTTTGTTTATTTTTATTTATTTTTTGAGACAGTTTCGCTCTTGTTGCCCAGGTTGGAGTGCAGTGGGCACAATTTTGACTCACTGCAACCTCTGTCTCCTGGGTTCAAGTGATTCTTCTGCCTCAGCCTCCTGAATAGCTGGAACTACAGGCACCCACCTAATTTTTTTTATTTTTAGTCTGCTAAACTGCTCTCCATGAGGTTTTACCATGTTGGCCAGGCTGGTCTTGAACTCCTGACCTCAGGTGATCCACCTGCCTCAGCCTCCCAAAGTGCTGGGATTACAGGTGTGAGCCACTTCATGTGGCTTAATTTAACGCTAAACTGTGAAGTCAGGAGGATTGGATGCCTGAAAACCATTTTAATTATTTGCCAGCTCCATGAAGAATCTTCCCAGCTAAATATGTTCCGTGAGGTTGCTGAACACACCTTCTGCTTTTCCTTTTTTTTCTTGTTGTATGAGGGGTAATACAATAGCCTTCTGCTTTTTTCCCCCTTATTCTAAGAGCTTATGAGGGTAGTAGATCCCTAGTTCTCTGAATGAATGCAAAGGTAGAGGGCTTCTCTCTACATGTTCCTGAGCCTTGGAAACAAAGCCTTTCACCTCTACAGTGTTTGTTTACAGTGGAGGCATACTTCTGAGTGTCTGTGACATGAACTCATTTACAAGCATTTTGTCAGCGTTACACAATTCCCTGTGTTCAGTGCCAGTTATTTGTGGTTGTGGAGGAGGAGGACGATGATTCAAGAAAACTAGATTCTGATCTCAGGGGCCTGTTTCCACTTTAGACACAACATACACATATGACACAAGTTGCAAACAATTACGAAACAGCAGCAGTTTCAATGAAAAGTACATGTGCTGAGAGCTGGGAATCAGCATGGGAGGAAGGCTGATGGCAGGGTGCTTACTGGAAACGTGGTTAGAGGGGAGTCTGGAAGAAGGCCAGGCCCACTGACGGAGACCTTTCGGGGGCTGGATCGATGTTAAATAGGAAGCCAGCATCTACTCTTCTCTGGAGACACAACCGTTATGTCCCTCAAGGCACCGTGGCCCGCCTGGCACGTACTCTCACTGGTTTGCCTTGCAAAGATTCTGCAGTCCTCTCCACCTTCTTACTTCCACCATTTGGCTGCCACAAAAAGAAACCACTGCTAGGGATACCTGGCCCACCTGCACACCTCTTTCAGCTCCTAGCAGGCTTCAGACTGTACCAGGAAGCATCAGAGCACAGCTCACTAGCAACACTGCTTATGCCCTGCTCTACCCCTGCCTCTGTCTTCCAAGGAAGAAACCAGGTCCTCTGAATCCCCAGAGCCACGAGGGTCCTCAGCTCATGAAGCCAGGGATGCCACTCACTCTGCAGAGAACACCTGAGCAGCATGGCTGCAGGCCCTACTCATTGATGGGGCTGCAGCCAGCTGCAGGTGGCAGCTCTCCACTCTGACTGTGACTGCCCTTGAAGCTTGTCCCAGTCACAAGGTTCAGTATAGAGGCCACGGATTATGAAATGCAATACCTGAGGCCCTGTAGCTTGGGGGCAGGAGGCAACTGTTTTTAACCACGTCTCAGGCCAGGAAGGTCATTAGTGAGGAATGTTGCATGTGGGAGACTGTAATTTTTCAAAACACACACAGAAGGCCAGTTGATTCATTTATAGCGGAAAACGCAATTGCCACAAAATTTGGAAATACTCAAAGGACCTACAAAGCTGTTCAATGAATAAGAAACTCAATTAAAGACAATCAGATTGACCAAATAGCCAAGGACATCAGGTCAAGAAAGCCCAGGGCAGCCACATTACCATGCCAAGTTCTAGCTCCTTAGAATCATTCATCTCTGCATTTGGATTTCATCAGGAGTTTTTTTGTTTTTCCAGAGGGACTCTTGCTTTGTCACCCAGGCTGGAGTGCAGTGGCATAATCTCAGCTCACTGCAACTTCCACTTCCTGGGTCCTAGCAATGTCTCAGCCTCCCAAATAGCTGGGATTACAGGCATGCACCACCACACCCAGTTAATTTTTTTTTTTGGATTTTTAGTAGAGGCAGGGTTTTACCATATTGGTCAGGATGGTCTCAAACTCCTGACCTCAGGTGATCTGCCTGCCTCGGCCTCCCAAAGGGCTGGGATTACAGGTGTGAGCCACTGTGCCCGGCCATCCATCAGGACTTTTAAACACTCAGGATACAGCCCCGTCCCATGGCCATGAGGACTAAATATAACCCTAGGCAGCTGCCCACCCACTGCCTCTGGAATGGCTCACGGCCGATTCTCTGGGAGAGATTCTGCTGTCAGCGATGATCTCAGCTTTTGGACTTGTACCTGTTTGGATTTGGCTAGCCACTGGATGACCCATTTAGATTCCATAAGCTGGTTTCTGAACAGAACAACTAGGTCCAGGTAGGGTAGTTCACGCCTGTAATCCCAGCGCTCTGGGGAGCCAAGGCAAGAGGATCACTTGAGGTCAGGAGTTCGAGGCCTTGGCAACATGGCGAGACTCTGTCTCTACCAAAATACAAAAAAAGTAACCAGGCATGATGGTGCATGCCTGTAATCCCTGTGCTTTTGGAGGCTGAGGTGGAAGGACTGTTCGAGTCCAGGTGTTCAAGACCAGCCTGGACACACAGTGGGACTCTGTCTCTACAAACAATTTAAAAGTTAGCCAGGAGTGGTGGTGCCTGGAGTCCCAGCTACTCAGGAGGGTGAAATGGGAGGGTCCCTTGAACCCAGGAGGCTGAGGCTGCAGTCAGCAGTTATCATGATCTTAGCTCACTGCAACCTTCACCTCCCGGGTTCAAGCAATTCTGCCTCAGCCTCCCAAGTAGCTGAGATTATAGGCATCCGCCACCGCGCCCAGCTAATTTTTTTTCCGCCCACCCTCCCCCTCCGGCTAATTTTTTTGTATTATTATTATTTTATAATGAGCCCTGCCTAAGCAGGACATCAAAAAAATCAGGTTATAAACTCATAATTGTTCCTCTCCACGGAAATCTTTAGTAAAAGGTGAAATATTTGTTATGAAGAGAAACCAGAGCACTTTTTTGTATTATTAGCAGAGACAGGGTTTCTCCATATTGACCAGGCTGGTCTTGAACTCCGGACCTCATGACCCTATGCCTCGCTCAGCCTCCCAAAGCGCTGAGATTACAGGGGTGAGCCACCACCACCCAGTTTTGTGTGACTAGAATTTAAGCCTCAGCCTGTGGGTCGATCAAGCAGAGGCTCTCACAAAGCAAAGAGCCAGGCATCTCTTCTGCAAGCTGCCGCCACCCAGTCACACAACTGCTCGGGAGGCCCTAAGAGCAGTTCTCAGTGAGGAATGGTGCCAGGTGGAAAGCCTGTGTCCCTGTTGGTGACAGTGGGGAAGAGAAAGGCCAGGGTCAGGGAAGCAGTGGCTCTTGGCCAGAAGAATATTCCAAAGAGCAGAAGGCAGAACATTCCATTTGGTGGCCTCTCAGGGCCCATCATATAGCCAGGTGTTGTCTGACCTTGCCGTGGTTTCCAGACCCCCTTGGAAATCCAATTAAAATAAGGAACCACTCCCCAGAAAGACACACACACACAGACACACACACACACACACACACACGTGGATTTTGCACATTAATTCAGGAGGTCTGTGTCCTCCTCGAGCCAACATTCAGGCACCCTAATCTCAAACCTCTGCTCTAGGGAGAACTATAGAAAAGCAGTTTATGGAACTGCTCGACCTGGCTCCTGCCCGTGCAGAAACTGTTTACTGAGCAGGAGGTAAGATGAGACTGGAAGGCACACAGACAGTCGGATGTCAGCAAAGAGAAAGCCAGGAGCCTTCACACACATTCCCGCAGAGCAGGAGGCTGCAGGCGCCGTGTGGCTCTGAACACAGCTTTCCTCACAGCAGAGACGGAATGGGGACAGAACATCTGTTTTGCATAATCTGCTCATTGCAGAGGCAGCCAACAGAACCTGTGGCCCCAGAAACATTTCCCCCTGCACTGAAGCTTATCAGAGAACAGAAAAGATAGGGGGAACCATGTTTCATTGTAGATGAAACTGGCCAATATGATAAGAAAATGAAATTGTCAACATGCATGAGGAAGCTCCAGGATTTTATGTGCCCAAATTCAGGGACTCTGGTATGTAGTGACAATGTGGTACGCATGGGGAGTTCACTGGGTCACTCCTACACTCTCTCAACACCAGACTGGAAGTAGCAGAGAAGTAAGGGCTCTTGCCTATACACTGGATTATTGGTGTTTTTTGTTTGTTTAGAGAAGGGGTTTCACCATGTTGGTCAGGATGCTGGTCTCGAACTCCTGACTTCATGATCCACCCACCTTGGCCTCCCAAAGTGCTGGGATTACAGGCTTGAGCCACTGCGCCAGGCCATCTTGGATCTTTTCAAAGTCACCTTCCTTAAGTGCGGGATGCGGGTGGCCAGGCCCAGCCTCGTGCACCCTGGTGCTTTATTTGTTGTTTTAGAGACAGATTCTTGCTCCGCCATGCAGGCTGGAGTGCAGTGTACGATCATGGCTCACTGCAGCTCAGGAGATCCTCCCACCTCGGTCTCCTGAAACACAGGGCTTACAGGCATGAGGCATGAGACACTGTGCTCGGCCTCCGTCTCAAAAAAAAAGGCTGGGCGCGGTGGCTCAAGCCTGTAATCCCAGCACTTTGGGAGGCTGAGGTGGGTGGATCACGAGGTCAAGAGCTCGAGACCATCGTGGTCAACATGGTGAAACCCCATCTCTACTAAAAATACAAAAAATTAGCTGGGCATTGTGGCACGTGCCTGTAATCCCAGCTACTCAGGAGGCTGAGGCAAGAGAATTGCCTGAACCCAGGCGGAGGTTGCGGTGAGCCAAGATTGCACCATTGCACTCCAGCCTGGGTAACGAGCGAAACTCCATCTCAAAAAAATAAAAAATAAATAAATAAAATAAAAATAAATAAATAAATAAAATACATAAATAAAATAAAAATACCAAAAAAAAAATAGCTGGGTGTGGTGACTCGTGCCTGTAATCCCAGCCACTTAGGAGGCTGAGTCAGGAGAATCACTTGAACCCAGGAGGCAGAGGTTGCAGTGAGCTGAGATACTGCCACTACACTCCAGCCTGGGCAACAAGACTGAAACTCCATCATAAAAAAAATAATAATGTTGGCAACTCCACGCACTGGGTGCTTACTCTGGAATTATCCTCCTTAATCCTCATCACAACCCTATGAAGTAGGTACTATTCTTAGCCCAGTTCTGTGGATGAGAAGTCCACCTCGGCCAGGCGCAGTGGCTCACGCCTGTAATCCCAGCATTTTGGGAGGCTGAGGGGGGGTGGATCATGAGGTCAAGAGCTCGAGACCATCCTGGTCAACATGGTGAAACCCCGTCTCTACTAAAAATACAAAAAAATTAGCTGGGCATGGTGGCACATGCCTATAATCCCAGCTACTCAGGAGGCTGAGGCAGGATAATTGTCTGAACCGAGGAGGCGGAGGTTGCGGTGAGCCAAGATCGCACCATTGCATTCCAGCCTGGGTAACAAGAGCAAAACTCCGACTCAAAAAAAAAAGAGAAATCCATCTCATCTACAAATCTACAGAGTAACAACAAAAAGCCAGGTGAGGTGGCTCATGCCTGTAATCCCATCACTTTGGGAGGCTGAGGTGGGTGGATCACCTGAGGTTGGGAGTTCAAGGCCAGCCTGGCCAACATGGTGAAATCCTGTTTCTACTAAAAATACAAAATTAGCTGGGCATAGTGACACGGACCTGTAATCCCAGCTATTTGGGAGGTTGAGGCAGGAGAACTGCTTGAACTTGGAAGGTGGAGCTGCAGTGAGCCAACATCATGTCACTGCACTCCAGCCCTGGGTGACAGAAAAAAAAGATTAGCCGGGCATGGTAGCAGGTGCCTGTAATCCCAGCTACTTGGGAGGCTGAGGCAGGAGAATTGTTTGAATTCAGGAGGCGGAGGTTGCAGTGAGCGGAGATTGCACCACTGCACTCCAGCCTGGGTGACAAGAGCAAAACTCCATCTTAAAAAAACAAACAGGCCAGGTGCGGTGGCTCACGCCTGTAATCCTAGCACTTTGGGAGGCCGAGGTGGGTGGATCACCTGAGGTCAGGAGTTCAAGACCAGCCTGGCCATAAAGGTGAAACCCCATCTTTAAAAAAAAAAGAAAACAAAAAACACTTGGGTTCCCCAGACAGTCCTGCTGTATGACTGTGGGCATGTTAACGTACCACCTCAAGGCCTGGACTTCTCATCCACAGAACTGGGCTAAGAATAGTACCTACTTCATAGGGTTGTGATGAGGATTAAGGAGGAAAATTCCAGAGCAAGCACCCAGCGCGTGGAGTTGCCCACATGATTTATGACTGTCTCTCTTGTCACTTGCAGGGGAAAAGAAGCAATGGGCAGATGTGAGATTAAACTAAGAAATGGCAGTTTGGATTCAGGTTTTGGAAATACACACGGGCAGTGGACTTCTGGGGTCTGTTTATCAAGGGCATTCCTAACTGGAGAATGCAGATGTCATGGGGCTGTGAGCCTAGGAGAGGCAGCCCCATCTGAAGGCTGCTGCTCTCTTTCTAGCCATCTGGATGACCTTGTGGGCACCTGACGGGGTACATTCCACAAGTGCTGGCCAGGACGCCCATTCCTGAAATAGCCGCCCTGCAGTGTGGGAGGTGCCGGTGGATGAGAATGTTAGACAACTTGAAGCCTGGCAAGGAAAAGGTCACCTCTGGGGCTGTGTCCTCGGGGAGGGGACACAATTGTCTGAGGAAGGAGTCTGAGTCCTTAAGAAGTCTATTGGAGCTGCCCTTAGCATTGTGCAGCTGCCAGGTCCTGGGCTATGCTCCACAGGTTCCAAAGCCGGACCGGTGGTGGCGGGAGTGGTGTCTGGAGCCGGCTTGCACAGGCTGGTGAGAGCTAATTGTTAAGTTTTCAGGAATTTTGCCAGCTGCTTCTTACACACAGTCATTATTAAAAACTAAGTTATAAAAATTTATGATGAAATATTAAAAGGCTCATCTCTTTCTAATTATTTTACTAGTATTTATGCATTTGAGGATATTTATGTCTGTTGCATCTATATGGTGGAAATATACAACTGTTACGCGATGCCGTGTTGACAGTTTCAAATCGGTCATGGTGGAAGTATTTACACCGAAATCAGTAAATGTTACAAGTCAGCATACACACACACACACACACACACACACACACCCCACTGGAGCTGGTTGTTAAACATTTACCAGTGCCTCACTGGACAAACTGATTCCTTTTTTTTTTTTTTTCCTTCTCCCAAGACAGCGTCTTGCTCTGTCACCCAGGCTGGAGGGCAGTGGTGCCATCTCGGCTCACTGAAACCTCCACCTCACCTCAGCCTCCCAAGTAGCTGGGATTACAGGTGCGCACCACCATGCGTAGCTAATTTTTTTTTTTTTTTTTTGAGACAGAGTTTTGCTCTTGTTACCCAGGCTGGAGTGCAATGGCGCACTCTCAGCTCACCACAACCTTTGCCTCCTGGGTTCAGGCAATTCTCCTGCCTCAGCCTCCTGAGTAGCTGGGATTACAAGCACATGCCACCATGCCCAGCTGAATTTTTGTATTTTTAGTAGAGACAGGGTTTCACCATGTTGACCAGGATGGTCTTGATCTCTTGACCTCGTGATCCACCCACCTCAGCCTCCCAAAGTGCTAGGATTACAGGCTTGAGCCACCATGCCCGGCCCTAATTTTTGTATTTTTAATAGAGATGGGGTTTTGCCATGTTGGCCAGGCTGGTCTTGAACTCCTGACCTCAGGTGATCTGCTAGCCTTGGCCTCCCAAAGTGCTGGGATTACAGGCATGAGCCACCGTACCTGGCCCAGACAAACTGATTTCTAGGAATTTTGTTCTTAGTCATTTCTTGTGAGTTTCAGTATTAGCCATCTGCCCCAGATAAACTGGGCCTGAGTTCCACTGCAGGTTTTTGGATCCCCCAATCCAATATCCAAGTGAGCTGCCTTATATGTTCAAATCTCACTAGTCCTACCCTGGCCAGAGA